CTCAGCTCCCTGAGGAAGAGCTGCCCCATCACAGAAGGCACAACACTGACTGCACTATCTGGGACAAGCTCTTTCCAACACCTTGCTCCTGAGCGAAGGGGACCAGGCCCTCACGGTGGGCAGGAACATGTTAGTACAGCAATGGTGACGACAAAACAACCTTTCCTCCGTGGACTCATTTCTTCAGCTCTCTGACTTTGTGATACTCTACGTTAAAAACAGACAACTGGGCACAGCGCTATCTCTGTACACACCGTTCTCCCTGAGACCAAAACTCTTCAGATAATTTTTGCAATCTAGATTTTTTTTTTTTTCTTCTGAATTTTCTCATCGTGACTTCCACCACCATTCCTCCCACTCCTGTATCTCCTGCCCCACGTCCTTCCCCACGCTCTTGTCACACGCTGGTACATATGGACACGAGATAACGGGCTTATCTGATCTTCCACGTGAATTGATAGTGGCTATTTGTTTGCATGTGTGTGTAAATTCTCGCTGATTCCCCGTGTGATCTTTTATCACACCCGCACAATTAGGGGAAGAAGAATTGATCTCTGACAACTTTCTCTTATCGAGTCTTTAACTGATGAGATGATACAGCGCACACAGGGAAAAAAGAAAAACCAGAGGGCTCGGGTGAATGTCTGGAGTTAAAAGAAGCACTGTAGGTCTTCTCCATGAAAAAGAGAAGTAAAGAGGCTCCAGTCTTATAATGAAATTACGTACGTGTCACCCAGATGATGCGACTGTGGTTGGGGTGCAGCGGGTTTGCAGCTTTGCACGTCCACTGGCACGCTCGCACGCAAAAAGAGCTGAGGAACACTCTGGTGTGCCCCAAGTAGAGCAAAAATAGCTTTGACAAGTGTCTGTGGCCTCGTTGGGGGGCAGCGAGAGGGAATAAAGTACTTGTATAACTGCCGGTGGGTTAGTTTTGGGGGGGGAGAGGTGGATTGTGCCACACCGGTCAATGCCATCTCAATAGACTCATGCTTCACCAAATAACTATTTTATCACCTTGCAATGTAAAGCTGCAGGACAGCACAAAGTTCTGACCAAACCTGGGAACTCTGTGCGTTTGGGTGTCTGTTTCCAGCCAAGCCCGTGCGCGCAAAGGGAAGAGTAATTCCTTGGCACAGCCCTTGCAAGAAAGCGGCTCGGAAACCCACCGCAGCCTTTTATCCGGATCCTCGGCCATAAGTCATTTCTATTAGCAGCGCCTTGCTATAGATGTTTATAACAAAACATTAAAGACTTGGTGAGAAAGGAGAAAACAAATTACTCTGCAGAGAACCTAGCAACTCTGCTAAAATACTGTCAGTTATTTATCTGCTGTCGGCAGAGGTTGCACACTGTAATCCTCGACAGGCTCGGATTCGGGGGGATGGAGAGAAGGGGCAGGGATTGCGGCAAAGGGCCTGTTCTCATGCAAAGACATTTTAACACCGATTTAAAGCACGAACGTGTCTGCTAGAGAATGTCACTTCAGATTTTGATGCGTTTCCAAGCGGGCAGGGCCTATGTTGGGTTGACTTAGCGGGAGAGGTGTTGGGGCTAACGCCGTATTTTAGGGCGCTGACGGTCCCTGCAAAGCACTAACGCGATGAGGTCAGCATCACTTCGTTTCGAGAGGTTTTCTGTAACAACAGCACGACTTCACAAAGATATATTTTTTTTATGGTTTAGCCGAAGGGGTTTTTTTGTTAGGTGAAGGGGAACACAGGAACATTAAAAAAAAAAAAAATTATCTGCCTTTTCTATTTCTTTTTTTTTTTTTTTCTCCCAAAATGAAAACCACATGTAAATCATCAGGGTAGACAATGGTCGTTAAGTGTTGTTGTACAGGACAATATCTGCGAGCGCTTCGTGCTGGAATACAGGCAGGATACCACTGCCAATGTTTTACACACAAAAACCCCCTCGCACATTACACCACTTGGCTAAAATTAGTTCCTCTTTACGAAGAGGCTCGCGCTAGGCCTAAGAAGGGGATGCTATTAACTGCTGATGCCTGAATAAGGCACGCGATGCGCTCGTCTCGACTAAGGCAACGAGTGCTTGGTTTTGGCTAGGCTGCACGGTGACGGGGCTGCTCCCAGCCCCCTGATTTCACCTGTGCGATCCAGGCTACGGGCTGAGGATGCTCGGCTGTTCGGCGAACGCTAAGCCCGCGCCTTAATTTTCTAATTCATATTCACCAATTAAAAATAAACCGGTATTTTTTATGAGCGCATTTACATAAATCAGTTGCTAAAGCATCCTAACACTAAAGGGTAGGAGTTCAGCCCGGAAGATTTGCATGCAGCATCCTCAGACGAAGGCAGGCGCTTTCGATTTCCATCGAGAGCCTTGCTGCGCTGGAACTCTAATGGGCTTAGAACAGTAAATTTTGAAGAAACTGATTGCTGCCCCCGTAGCTAGTAAATGCCTGCCTGGACCCAGTGGCATTTGAAAAAAGTGTTTTATCATAAAATTATCCCAGCAGAGTCCATTCTGCAAGATAACATCATCATCATCATCATCATCAGTACTCCATGCAGGACCCAACAGCTCTGGCACAATATTGCCAGTCATTTATCTGTTGTCAGCACAGGTTACACACTGTAATCCTTGACTGCCTCGGAATTAGAATGTCTTTGATGTCCCCACAAGAGTTTTTTGCCCGAAGGCTTTACCAATGCTCGGCGGCTCAGTGTTTATTCCTCGTAATCTTCCTCTCATCTCCAGGCTAGCAGTGACAGATGGTTATGGGCACACAATAGTATTAAGAGTTTGATATTTTTTTTTTCCTATTTTTTTTTTTTTTTATGCTGTGCTCTCTGTACAACAAATAGCTATCAGACGCGGGCCAGAGAGCTGACATGGCTCGCTTAGGTAATGGCAAACAAACAGCTCGGGTTGATGCTTTCTGTCATTTTCCCTGCTAACCCTGCTTGTTTTCATTGTATACTCTCAAAGGTAAACTATATTAACCTTATAGACTGTTATTAAAAAGATATATCTATATGAGCATAAAGTGCTTTTCTCTTTTTCTTACTCTTTTGATTATGAAAGTAATACTGCTGACATATTGAACAAATATCGAATGTCAACATAAATTTTTAGTGTGTGATAATATTCCCCTTCATATAGCTGTGTGTCAGGCGGGAACCCATGGATGATGCATAGCAGTAAATAACCCAAACAAAATTAGTTCTCTTGTCAGCTTCTACCTTGTATGTCCCCAGGCATCAGTAAAATTGACTGCACGCTAGATTTTCAAAATTAGCCCTAATGTTAGCTGTGTGTCTGGCAACCTCCAAGTTTCCAATGTTCTACTATATTACCCGTAAGGATGAATGTGTTACTTTTATATTTTGGCATTTGCTCTTGCTGATGCGGCTTTTTTTTTCTCTCTTCTCCAAATTAAAAATAATTTAGCTTTAACAATAAGTATGTGCACGAACACAATGCTGCATCTCTTTAAGCAACTAACTTTAGGCAATTAAATTAAATTAAAGCAAAAATATACACGGAAAGAAAAGGAATTATTCAATTTAATATTGTTGATTTTATTACTTAGCTTTGTGCTGTTTTATGCAAACTACTGAATAAAATGGAAAATATTTTTTTTGCCTTTACTCTGCCCTTTTTGAATGCAACATTTGGAACAATTTAGGTTAGCATTCAAAAAAAAAAAAAAAAGAAAAAAGAAAAAAAAAACAGCTCAGCACCATTAAACTTTTAATAACCGGCCACCTTAAAAATGTGCATTTTTAAAATGTGGTCTTAAGTGAAGGGGGATAAAATTCTTCAAAAAATAAAAATGACACTAAGCTTCATATACTTTCCACACCAAATGAAAACATGCAGTATCTCTCCCTTCGCTGCACTAAATTTTAAAATAACCTATAAGAACACAGAGCATTTCGGCGTTTGCAGGGAAACATGATTAAAAATAAATGTGGCTCCCCAAGAAAGGCCGTGTCGGAAGTGTGAAGTTGATTAAACAAATCCAAAGACAGATTCCACATCAACTTCCAATCCCTAAATTTTATGTTCAGACATTTAGAGTCAAAGATGAAAATCCCTTTAGGTACCAGATGCTGCAGATCATCTGGGAGAGCTTCTGGAGTTTTAATGTGCTGGAAGTCAAATCCCCTGCAAAGGCGATTTGCCCCGTCGGTGCGGTGTACTTATTGCTTCACCTGAAAACAGTTGCTCTCGGAAAATCTGACCTACTGATCGACCCAGCATCTCTGCAATAAACAGACTATAATCTGTGGATGAAGTGAACTCTAATCAGGCCACATGCAGATTAAACAAACTGCGAGGAATAAAAACTAGATTAAAATGTTCGTGCCCAATACCGGAAGATTATCAGGACATTTTACCTCTTTAAATCCTAATTTATGTAGGAGTCGAGCTAAAGTTTATATGTTTTTAGCGATTATGTGGCATGGTAGATTTTCGGCCGTTCGGAGAAGATTCAGAGATCAGGTATTTGCGTTAGCAGTTGGGAAAATACTGTTTCACTGGAAATACGTTCAAACGTGCTTTCTATTTCTGTAACACTGAAAGGGCGTTTGTAAAATGCAGACGGTGGGTTAACATCAGCTGTCCGGTGTCACCACATATCTTTACACTTAATCACTGGCATTAAAGTAATTAAGATAATTTAAATAACATTAGATATTAATTGTCATCTGTGGATTGCCTCATACGAAAAGAGAGTTACCAGAATTATGCTTATCGTTTCAGCAGCAGGGGTGTCTTTTTCTTGGGCAAAAAAGAGGAATCATTAACACCAATAGTTAAACGTCTGGCTAGCGTTACTGAACTACATCTATTCAAACAAATTATTTTAATTAATCGGATGCTGGCGATGTGTCTTTTTCTTCTACGCATGTGTGCAGCGTCAGTATGTTTAGGAAATTATTTTATACTTGACAGAAGTCACAGCAATGGGATCCAACCGAATTTATAAATCTCAGGAAGGTACGGTATTTGGATTTGCTCACCACTTACCACCTGTGGGGCCAGGCAACGTGTAAAGGTCTTTGCTGATAGTCCCGTCCACTCAAGATATTAGAGAGGTTATAAGTCAGATGTTGCTTATCTTCCTCTTGACAAGGATTTGTACTTTCTGATGCTTCAGGCTTGTTCAATCTCGCCGGCACTGCTAATGGGGAAGGCAGCCCCTCGTGCTGTGTGGTACAAAGTCCAGGCTGGGCTTCACAAAGTCCAGACTCACGATGTGCGTTGCTGTTTTTCATTAAAGCTCTGCCCTTCTGCTGGCCGGGCAGACCCTCCAATTGATAAGCATCTCCATTTCTTTTAACATCAATTACCTTTTCCAAATGGGCAAGCTTATGTTCTGGCATGAACCTGTTAGGAAAAAGAAAAGAAAAAAAAAATCCATATTGTGCTTAGGCTGGATTTCAGTTTCATCTGGTAATTGTTAATTAATGAACAGCAAATGAGAAGACAAAACACAGTTGATATTTTACACCCGTCCAACCAACAACTCCGCTAACATTCAGTAAATGACACACTTTATATACATTTCAGTGAATATGGTACCTGCGAAATAAATTAACAGGTTCACCGGCTGAGAAGCCAAAGGTCTCCACTGCACCACGTCGCCGCTAACGGTGATCAACAGGGAGAACAGAACTATTTCCCTGCTACAATAAAATAAAGCAAACACCTCTGGGAAGTAAAAAGGCAATTCTGCCAGAAAAGTCTTGCCAGGACTACAGCTCAGATTGGTAGCAAACGTCAAAAGCAGCGGTGTTCAACCTGATGTGAGTCTAGTTGAGTCCAGCAAGTTGCTTCGTCACAGATCAATGAAAGCTACCGCAAAAAGCCTGTTTGTTGCCTAATAACATGGGCCAAACATGTACCATGGCATGGAAGTGGCTCTTCTCTACCCAACTATCCTTGCCTGATTTCTATAATGACCAACTGAAAAAATTAATCACAAATCAGAAAAAAAAAACCACAACGAGGAGAAAAGGATTGAGTTGTGCATCCATTCATAGGATAAAATCAACCACTCCTGTGTTTTTTCACAGGTGTGAGTAATGAACATCAAGATGGGGAAACTGAGGCAGAGGTGCTCATGACCCTTCCGAGGTACCCCAGACAATATTAGATGCCATGAGCTCTTCCTTCTGATATCCATGCCGCAGAAAACCCTTCCCAACAGCAGGACACATTTGCACGGTTATATTGAGCCAGTGAACTCACTTCCGTAGTATATGACATGTAACATTTTATGCAGATCTAGTTTTACTATTTGATTTAAAGTAGTCATGAATTGAGGTCCTTGCCCAGGAAACACTCGAGTGAAGCTCCTTCATTCAAACACGACTCCGTTAAATTAACACGGAGAGGACTACACGCATGGCCACCATGGGATCCTCACTCTAAACGCCTGCCTGCACCTCAAGGTAATTTACCCAAATATTATTTACTTACATGCCTTTCAGTGTGATTATGGTTCTCCCAGATAAGTAGAGACATTTAAATTTTCTGTTTCCGTTTAATTTCCAAATGTTTACACACTATAGCCTGTTTATTGAACTGTTTACTAAAGCCAACACTTGCTCCACTTTATCAACCTCCTCCACAGTTCTTCAGAGTTTCAGCTCTCCATCACAGCTCGCTTCTGGGCTGTGAAGAAACCGCTCCCTTCCCTCTTTGTCAAAACAAATATTCCTAAACACCAGAATCGTCCACTTCACCCTGCAACGGAGAACCTTTAAACACAAACAGACCCTTTTTCTTCAAAGTCACTACCAAAAGACAAACACGTACACACTCTGTGAGCTTTACTGCAGTTGTACTCTTGACTAACTAATTGCATTGAGGATTTTTCTTCACAACCCTAAATCTCCTTTCCTAAGTCAGTCACTGTGTAACTACTCCATGTAATGTGTATTCTTTGATTTGGCTTGCCGTCCGTTGGCGTATTATTTTCATGTTTATCTAAACTAAGCTCCATTTTCAAGCCACTGACCAACTCATCTACGAGATCTACCTTTTTTCCACTGCTTGCCATCACTCGTTGGAGCTGCTCTGTAGATACAACCAGAAGAAGTTCAATCACATTCAACAGCCTCATCCAAATCCATTACCTATGACTCAAACAAGGCAGGTTCCCAAATGAGCCCGAGTTAAACCATTCCCATCTCAGTGACTTAGCCATCCGCAGATTCTCATTGCATAAAAGTATAAATTCAGCGTGGCTGAATTCCATACGTATATGCTCTTAACAGTTAAATAGGTGTTTTGACAGTCTGAGCTGAATTATAGACCTAAAGCTGGCCGGTGGTGGCTCCTCTGAAGTACGGACACATCCCCGTGAGGATATACTTTAATATATGTACGCATGGGAAAAGCTGAAGGAGAAACAGGTTAAGGGATTTGCCCTAAACCACCAAGTCTGTGACTGAATTGAGAGGACTGATTTACCAAACCAAATTTAACTAACAGATTTTGAAAAATCATTGCCGTTAGGAAGAATTGCTTGATGCGTGAGAGGTCGGACTACCCAGGCAGGCTGCATCCCCCTGCCTGTCTTGAAATCTCCCGGCCAACCATCCACTCAATGCACCATGTCTATTTCTTGAAGAGGTTTTCTTCTTAGTTTTCAGACCTTATAAATCTGATCCGTCATTGCAGAATTTCTAATAATATTAGATAAAACTTCACCGATCTCTCTCTGGAATAAACTATTTAATATCCTTTATTTAAGACATGTGTGTGCAATCAATTCTGTGGTATTTACTTGTATTACACACACAGTATTCATCATCTTGACAATTTTTAAAAGTTTTAGAACACCATTTCACTTAACAGTTTAAAAAAAAATAAAAGATTTATTTGATGGTTAACTTTGGAACAAGTTATCTGCATTAACTTCCATTGTTTTGGCATAAAGTAGTTCTGTATATTTTACTAACAACAGTGGAGACATGATAAAGGATGTAGGCAGAGAGCCATAAACAGCTCTCGCTGCAACCCACAGTGTTCGTGTAAAAGCATTAATTTTTCGGACTTTGATTGGAAGACGTCTCTGTGCTCAGCCACTTGGATTTTACTAAATACAGCCACGTATAAAATGTTGTACCTGAATATAACAATTTTCACTGTGGAAAGACCATTGTAAATCATACGTAGTATAAACTTGTCCACATGATTGGAATGATATAATGGATATTGTAGTCCCTAACCACCAGCTAATGTTCTTTATGACACTTAAATAAATGACCTGAAAATAAACTAATAACAACACGAAATCTTCTAAACCTGTTCGTGTGCATTTCCCAAATGCACGCTGGAGAAAGACAATGTCTAGTTAGCACATTTTTTGTGTTTACATTTTCACCAGAACACTTTTGCTCCAGCTATTCAATTTTTCCTCTTCAAATTCACATCAATTCTTCTCTTCTGCCACCTTCCAGACAGAGTCATGTCTCCATCCAGTACCTGCCCAGATCTCGGTCATTTACAAACATCAAGAGCTTGCAGGATTTCTGCATCACCATCCGGAAGCCTGTAACCTGGAGAAAAAACAAGTTCTCCAGTGTTTTATTTGGAGCCAGTATCTACTCCCACAAAGATCATCAGAGTTTTTTAAAGCCTTGTCTAAATTTCAGAAGATACAACCTCAGAGAGGCTGGTTATGGAGAGCAGAGCTGGGGCAGGAGCAGACATAGGCTTAAAAGACTAGAATAAGGAAGAATTTTTTTACGATGAGGGTGGTGAGGCACTGGTACGGGTTGCCCAGAGAGGTGGTAGATGCCCCGTCCCTGGAAACATTCAAGGTCAGGTCGGATGGGGCTCTGAGCAACCTGATCTAGTTGAAGACGACCCTTTAAAGGTCCCTTCCAACCCAAACCACTCCATGATTCTATGATTCTGAAAAACGAGCTAGAGAGAGCTACCGCAGCAGACAGGTAGGATTTCGTTATCAAGGAGGACACATCATTTTTCTCAACCTTAGTTACAACACACACTAATCACATAAGAAAAATGTCACAGCTTTCTATTTTTAATACGGGCGAAGGATTTTATTGTTATTATTAACTTGTGGTAGTGAAATCTTGTACAAATGAAACTTTCCAGAAAAAATTATCACCAAAGCACACAAATACTAACACTTTCAACAGATTCCACAAGGTACTGTCCCTTATATTTAAAATACCATGGAAAATATTTTACTTTTATGCATAACTCATATATATTTAAACACTGAAAGTTCAGAACAAACAGTGAGAGACTTAGATATCTAATTTTAGTATCACAACTTGTTTTTGAAACTTTCAAAACTCTTTTTATTTATTCAGATTTTTTTAGGATCTCTGACACACTTAACAGTCAATTTTAAAACTTTATGAAGACTTTAGAAAGAGTAAGCCTTGAAAACTTTCCCTTTTTGCATACTGGCTATAGATGCTTATTTAAAATGATGGGTTAAAAATTAAACTAAGTTCATATATAATAAAAATTCCATATACTAAAAGTCAGAGTTTCAATCTAAACATTTGCCATTTTGAATAACAGACTTTTTTAACTCCCCAATCTATATATTACATATTTTCTTTTCATTTATGCCATGAAACCCCGCTCTGAGGAAACCCATGTACTTTTCCCTGAAGCAGACATGTGCGTTTTCCCCAGCTCTTTCATAACATGTGGCCATGTTATATCGCATGTGTTTATCCACAGCCACTCTATTTGCCCTTATGAAAAATTACTTATGGGAATTGTTTTCTATTTCATGGCACCAAGAGTCACTCTGTGCACCATTTTATTAAAAACAACAACAAAAAAAGGATGGAAGGGCCATGATGTCACTGCTCGATGAATAGAAACCACATTAGAAAGGCTACCTGGAGTGCTGGTTTAGGTGAGATTAAATTATACGGGCAAGTTCTGTGTGTTGTATACTGGTTTGAATAGTTGTTCTTGATGAGTAAGGGTAATTTGTAAGAATGGAAACAAGCTAAAAACAATAAAAATAAAAATTGAATTCATAAAAACTGGCCCTTCTGTAACTGTAGTTAGATTTGGAAGGAAGGTTAAAGGTAGTTCTGAAAGTGCGATGGATTTTTTGGTTTTTTTAATTATATCACCATTACAAATTTTAAAAATAATAAAAGGAGATCGTCATGATTATATATATTAGAAACCTTTCCCAGGCCTTGGAGGCTGGAGCATACACATTTTAGAACTGCTGAGTTTCCTTTGTCACTGACGCACCGTCATGGCATAACTTACAATTTAACAAACTCATTGTCTGAGAATTTCCTTTGTCTTTCTTTAAACATGATCACAAATGTCTCCTTGCTAACTGTAACATTTTTAGTATAATTTAT